CAATTCTCTTCATTTTGTTTCGTAAAATCAGTACAGTTTATAATTTGTGAAAGAATTTACAATAAAATTTTCTGCCCTCATGTTCGTTGATACATCAATTGATCGAAGAAAATCAATTGATGAATCAATTGATATATTTAATCTTCTGATTTAATAGTGTATTATTTTTATCGATGTTAGTATAGGAACACAAATATCATCTGATTTATTATAGAAATTAGTTTAAAAGTTTCGAAAATCACCTATTGTACAGTAAAAAAAACTTCTATTACTTTTTCTTTATTTCTTTTGAAATCTTTAAACCGCGTGGAAAAAGTATTACAGGAAAGATACTAGAGAATTTGTGTGAAAAAAGTTATCGTATATTTCGAAGAATGTATCGATTATTTGCTTGTTTGCTTAAAAAATGTACTAATAATAGAAAATATAATCATATATAAGATTTGAAATAAATGGACACATGCTATGCAATGCCATATGTATTTAAACTGCTTAAAAAAAATCTTTATTATATAACTCACATTGCGCTTTTACTTATATATATAATCGCTACAAAAAAATTTATAAACATGCCAATCTTTATTATACAAGGTGCGTCCCAAAATTTTCCCAACTTTTGAAATAAAACAACAACGGTTTACTTTTTTTTTCAAATTCAAATTGTTTATTCAAAGTTGTCCCCGTCGGACTCAATACAACGTTTGGCACGATCTAAAAGCATTTCAAATGAGTGTTTTATGTCGTTCAAAGGCACGTCCTTCAGAATAGTGGTACAAGCCCTTTGGATGTCTTCTACGTCCACATACCGCTTTCCTTTCATGGACAAATGCATTTTGCCGAATAGGTAGAAGTCACAAGGTGCCATATCAGGCGAATACGGGGAATGGTTGATTGTTAAAATGTGATTTTTAGTCAAAAAATCAGTGACAAGTGTCGAACGGTGAGATGGCGCATTATCGTGTAACAAGCGCCAACTTCCTCCTTCGCGATATTCTGGCCGAATACGACGAATGCGGTGCACCAAACGCTTCAAAACGCTTACATAGAATACAGCATTAACTGTTTGGCCTGCTGGAACGAATTCTTTGTGCACAATACCCTTGGAATCATAAAAACTTCGATGGAATTTTCGTTAATTGTCGATTTTGGGCGACCTGTATGTGCGTCGTCATTTATGTCCTCACGACCGTTCTTGAATCGCGTATACCACTCATAAACACTGGCACGGGCTACACAATTATCACCATAAACTTGTTTCATCAAATTATGGGTTTCGGTAAATGTTTTACCAAGTTTAAAACAAAACTTAATATTGGCTCTTTGTTCGAAGTTCATTCTCGTACCGATGTATACAACATACTGACACTTGAGACGCCATAACTTCGTTTCCACTGAACCAAATGTCATGAAATTTTTACTGGAAGTCAGCTAGGGATGTACCTTTCAAACGCGCAATCGAACACACGGATGGCGCCACCCGATCTATCCCTATTGAAAAAGTTTGGAAAATTTTGGGACGCACCTTGTACAATATCTACCTCTTAAATTTTAATATGCATTTATTTTTCTTCGAGAAATATTTTAAACGTTTATTGAAAAACTTTTATCCCTCTAAATAAAAAGTAAAAATAAAAAATAAAAAGTATAAAATATTTATAAGAATTCGGCGATTATTTCATTAAAAAAGACTTGCGCATTAACAGTTTAACGTACAATATATAAAACTATACTTACGATTCAATGATCAATTAAACAATAAATAATAACAAAACATTGATAATATTCCTGGAAATACATATATAAACTCATTTGCTATGATCTTTAATTTCTTTGATTTGTTATATATACTAATTGCAAATAAGACGTCGCATCTTGTTCAGGTGACAAGATGAAAATAAAATTTGCAAACTATCGATGACTTGTGGATTAATAGATGTATCAGATTGAATATACTTGCAACATGAACGAAAATATCTATGAATGAACGCATGGTTTCGTTGAATCGACAGTCATATTTTTTAAGAGGTTCATACTTGTCATTATAAGTACAATAAGTGGTCGCTGTGTTTGTTTTACGAAAGACATCGGTGAGTATTTTAAAATACATTATGTATTCATCTTTACTCTGCAAAGATACGATACTATAAAAGACATCGCTGTTTCACACACATCAAAATCACAATGAAATAAATATCTTCGAATTATGCTTTTGATCAATTCGGATAAAACATTGAAAATATTTGTTTCAGAAAGAATTGTCAACAACCGAATAATATTAATTTTTTATCTTATTTGGTTCCATTTTATAAAACTTGTCCATTTTCATCACAGATCAAAATATTTTTTAATGTATTCATTGGGAATGAATATAAACTTGCAGTGATTTTTTTATATAATGATTAACGGTTCTATATGTGTAACGCATTATGTTCAAATACATCATTTACCATTTCTAATATTATATCTAGGACAAGTAATGTATTTGTGTTTTTTTTCAAGAGTCAGTGGGATTCACCGATGACATAGTTTGATAATATAGGGACCAAGTTTTGGGTTTTGGAATTGAAAAGAACAATTGTTGGATTGCTTTGAACAAAACTTGTGATATTGAATAATGGTTCTTGATAGACAACATTTTTTGATAGAGATCAAGTTGTTGCACGACAGATGTTAAGAATATTAGCCTAATCCTATGCTTTTTCACACTCATGCGCATATCTGTCAAGTTTTTCATTCATGATATTACTTTGGACATAGGAATTCGTCTACTTATGTTCATTAGTATTATCAAAGCTATCGTCAAGTAATCTCCTATGTACAATCTAATTAGGAGGTCAAGATGAATTGGCGGATTGGAAAGTTTCATGCTCAATAGTAAATTTTTCATTGTAATTTTTCTTGTAATTATCCTTAGCGTTTGGATGACTAATATCCTTCATTTCCGTGGATGTGAAAGAATCGATTAACTTTGTCACTACTTCATCGTGAAGTAAAATGGCTAGTAATGCTAGACGATATTTTATCTTCGCATTTGTCGTGTATATAACTCATACAATATTTGGCAAATTTAATGAGTAGGTCTTTGAACCAACGCACACTCCTAATGAAGTGATGTACCTGTTTGCAATAGTAATTTTTCATGCTGACTTTTAAATACTTTTCCCAATTCTTCTGTATATTTTGTGGATCTGATTTTAAAGCGTGTTTTCAAGCTTACAAATGTGATATTTTTTTCTGATGGAAACCGAGATGGAAACCAACTGCGATATAATTCTGGTTCATGCGACATCAGTAGATGGTGCATATAATTATTATATAAAAAATGAGACTTCTTATATAAAGAACATTTTTTAAAACATTTTTTAGAACGTTTTTTTAAGACCATTCAAATAATAATTCCGACATTCTTGAGAACATTTTTTATAGCGTTCTTCAAAACGTAATATTTTGAAAATGGCGTCCAAGGATAATCTCTAATTGTTAGTTTTTCTACATTGATTTTATTCTTATTGCATTTACATGTATTATTGAATATGACTATCGCCTTGATAATTTTGAAAAATATGCTTTTTTTTCATTGAAATCTTTAAAATTCTTTTTTTGAATTTAAAAATATTACAAGCTTTGTCTTTCATCTTGTGGCTCCAAGTCATCTATGTAGAAGTTTTCGCAGTAGTTTAGATGATCTTTTTCTATACACATGTCGAACAATTCTTTTATTGGCATATTGTATTTAAAACATATTTTCCGGTACAAATTCATTTTTTACATAAAACAATTGGATAATTTCTATTATAAGGGAGAGCTACTTTTCATTTAAATCACATGGATAATATGTGTTAAGAAAATTGAACAGACTTTGAAATACACTTTTCGTTCTTATGTCTCTTCAAGAAGTATATTAAGGTATCGGATAACGCATCATCATCCTTATTATTCGTACAAACTTTCATCATTTTTTCAATTAACTGAAATCTTTTCTCTTCATTTTCAGTTTTATTTATTTGTACCTTGAGATATGATCGCTTCGTTAACAAGTAAATAACAAATCCAATTTGTCTTGTAAGAATACGAACTCGCTTCCTGGAATATAATTCTAGCTCGTTTGATCCGCTCCTCAATAGGTAACAATTTTAACAAGCTTTCCGTTATATTTTTCGTTGTAAAGAGAAGATGTTTATCATATTCGGACTCGTACAATTCACGGAGTAATTCATATTTTTTATTATGTGGATAATGTACTAGTATTTGAGCGCGTTATCTGTTGAAGGAAAGTTCTTCTTCGGGTAATAAATCCGGAAATATTTTTTCTATTAAATGCTCGTTGATCTATTCAAGTGATAATATGTGGATGTATATACGCGGCTTTTTTATGAAGTGTTGCTTAGCCTTTTTCAAGAATATTTCAGCACGTGTGTTGCTCAAAATAAATTCTATAATATCCAATTTATGAGCCTCATATAACTCTACAAAATCTTCCGGTCACTTCTTTATTAATTTGGGTAATAAAAACTGATATTTATTGATGCCAATCGCAATGGAGTGCGTTCAGTCATATTAGGTATTGGAATTAATTCGTAGCGTTTTTAATGAAAGAATGTTATTTATTTCACATGAGCATTAAAAAATACATTAATGAAAGTACTTCCCATCACTTGTAAAACGCTACGAATTAATTCCAACACCTAATATAATGCTGAAATTTCAATAATTTGAGAAAACGCACTGCCAAATTCAGATTTTTGTGGAATATCTGTTTAATAAAATGTGCAAGCAGCACGAGTTCTTTTTTTACGATGTCATAAGCAGAAAAGTCGTATCACAAGCCAGGAACAATGAATAAGCGGTTTGAATGTTATAAATATACTCCACTGTTATGAACATTTGCTGCAAAATCCTTCAATCTATATCCGAGTGTCTTCACGACACTCGCGAACTACGCGTTCTCATCTTTATGGAAACGTAAGGAAAGAGATGTTCGTAGAAGTATGCGACGTTAACGATCTCCTTGTAGCTGCCATTGAAAAACCAAGTGGCCTTAAAAGCCCGGTTTATTATTGTCAAGTCGTCACATTTCAGCGCTGACGTTGTCCTTATGCCTCTTTTTCTTGACGGCGGTTTCCACGTGAAGTAGAGATAGCAATTCTGGCGGAAATTGTTCAATATCTTCGCTGGCTTGATGCAAAGCCAGTCTTCCTATCCAACTAAACTTCTCACCAGCAGTATCTCCCGGTATCTTTTGAATCGCTCGCAAATAAGACATCGACAAGTCGACAGGTATTTTGCAGTCCATCGTGGTGCTTTTGTTACTAACAAAAGGTTTTGGTCGTATCGTCATAGAAGAAGACATCATGATGCTTGAAAAACAAACGAATGAATGAAATGAAATGTATTTTTCTATATATGTACAGTAAATACAAAAAAATAATGTGCTAATGGTCTTAGAACTAGGGCTTGCTATTATACGTATATTATTATTTAAACGAAACGTACGTTTACACATGTAATTAGCATTTATTAGAAACGTTATTATCCATTTATTAGAAACGTTTTACTAATATATGCGTTTTAAGTAGAGCTTGCTACATTTAAATGAAAATATATTTACATGTATATTTAGCCTATTTATCTATGAAAAATGTCTTCAAACATTTTCACGTTTTTATAATAAACGTTTATCCTTTTATTATGGCGTCATCTTAGTGTGAGGGATTGTAAAAATCAAAAATTTTTTTTGGATGTAAAAAAGACATTTGAGTACAGTAAAATCGGAAAAAATATGTACATAAAATCACATTAAAACAGTATATTCGGACAAACGTTTTCTAATAAACTAATATGCTATTTCTACGAGTAAATCTTTACGTCGATTTTAAAGTGTATTTTAAAATGTTAAATTATAAGAAAATGCAAAAAGAAAAATAAAATCGATTTTTTTAATAAAAAAAAACATTAAAATATTCCTCAAGATGGTTTTTATAGAAGTGCTAAATATATGTGTAAATGTTCTATATATATTTTCGTTTAAATATACAGGGTGGGCCATCTATTGGTACGTTTTTGAATTTCGTCGTATGGCAACACCGAACGAGCTACAGACCCGAAATTTTGACAGTTTATTAGTCATATCGTCCGCGGCACGAAACAACATGTTTTCTCTTGAAGAGCGTTTTGAAATTTTAAAAACTTATTTTCAAAGTCAGTGCTGTGTCGCCGAAACTGTACGAATTTTGAAAAGAAATATGGGTCGTGATAGAGCACCCACCGAAGGAGCTATACGCAAATTGGTGAGGAAAGTTCGTGAGAAAGGGATGTTAGTGGATGACATTATATTACGACTGTTTTGAGTGAAATTGGCGCCGAGGTAGTCCAAAATGTCATTAATAATTGGGGTGACCGAATGGCATACTGTAAGGCCAGTAGAGGGAGCCACATGAACGAAATCGTTTTTCATTCTTGACGCGGATACTTTTAGCTTCACAACAAAAAAAAAATTAATAAAAAATATCAATGTATGCTCATTTGATCGCATTTTTAAAAACGTACCAATAGATGGCCCACCCTGTATATAGTACCAGGTCTTGACTTAAAACACATATATTCGGAACAACGTTTCTAATAAACGGATGCTAATTATACATGTAAACGTTTACTTACAAGTAAATGTTTTTCTGAATATAAACGAATAAACGTTTCATGGTTACACGTATCTTCGAAAAACGAAATAAAATTAGAACCCTACTTAGAATCTAAATTTCTTGAATATATATAATATATTTCTTGTGCGTCTGACTAATAAAATCTTTTATTTTCACTTATTTTTAAAATAATTAATTTTTTTATTACAATATTTCTTTTTAGGTAAAATAATTTTTCAGAAATAAAATAATTTCAGATCTGTTTTACTCTTTGTTAATAAATTGCTAATTAATGTTTACTTTCGAAAAATAAGGTTTTTTTGGGGGAAATATGTCCCTAGTACGAATACTTTTTATACATCTAAATAACATATTCGAATTTTCGTTTTTTATCTTATGTTATCGAGATTACACCTTTACTCGCAAGCAAATCTAAACAAAGATCATATCTGATTGTGTGATTGAATTCCGAAGATAGTACAACCTGAGGTCAAGAGCGATAGCTTCAAGACCAGAGATCAAGAGCTTCATATAAGAGATGCCTGCGTGTTTTACGTTGATATATTCGACACGTGTTAAAATGATATATATTGTTATGACTTTAGAAGTTAATTGCCTTGTGATATGCACAGAATTTTTTTTATTTTTTGTTCATTATCTATGATTATATTATATTAGGTGTTGGAATTAATTCGTAGCGTTTTACAAGTGATGGGAAGTACTTTCATTAATGTATTTTTTAATGCTCATGTGAAATAAATAACATTCTTTCATTAAAAACGCTACGAATTAATTCCAACACCTAATATAACATGAGATACGGTCAACGCGATGCAAATGCTTTAAAGCATTTTTTGATTGATCAGTTCGTAAAATTCTTTGTTCTAATTGGTCAACCAAATGCTTTAAAATATTTGCAGCGAGATTTTGACCATACGACAATAAGATAAAAAAGAAAACCAATATTTTTATCAAATTTAGATTATTCCATCTTTGGAAACTATGGTCGATATTCATAGTCTGTTCTTATTTTAAGATCGTCTTAAATAATGTCTTAAGATGCTAACACGGCTCTCTGATTGGTTCGTGACATCTTAAGACTGTACTTAAGACGATCTTAAATATAAGAATTGACTATGAATATCGACCTATGTGATAATTTACCTACTGGATAAATAAAAGAGTATAAAACATTAAGAGCATAAGAGAGTAAGAAAGTAAAACAGTGAGCTGAAGTTTATCGAAAAGGTGGAACAACCCAGAGCCTAAGAGTTCCATTTTTCTTTAAAGAAATTATTAACTGTAAGAGTGAATAAAAATGAGTTATTCCAAGAAAAATTATAACATGAATACCAGAAAGTTTGTGGGCCATTCATGGCGTCGTGTTTTTATCCATTGCTAATGTCATTGCTAATAGATATTAAATACGGCGATAACCCACTTCTGATATCTTTAAAGATAATACGTAAAAAGCGTTATTACAACATGAATTTCTTAAAATTTAATTGAGAGAAAAAGATAATTCTGCGTAACAATTAGTCGAAATTATTTTTAAATTTAAAAAGTTGCTCATATGCATATATCACAAAATATAAAAATAACTGGATAACCTGCAATCCATCTAGAATGTAAAAAATAAATGTATTAGTAGTGATAGCATATGAAAACACATGAAAAATTTAATACGAGATGTAGAAAATGTACTGAATGTGATACCACATGAAACACACGTAAAACATTCAAATTTAATACAGTAATATTATAAATGTAATATTTTATTATTCATTTTAATTTTATCTGCATTACAATTTCATAGTTAATTTTACGCGTGCGCGAATAATTCTCAGTCAGAGTTTAACTAAAATTACTTGAAATTCAATGACAAGTAGTACTAAATGTAACTAACACTTCTTAATTTTAATTTGCAAAAAACATTCTGTTCCCAATAAGTCATAGTTTGGGGACTAAATTATTATGTAATTTTCTATTCCTATTAACCAAAACCAATCCTGAACTTAAAGAGAATAACAATAGTATGCCCATCATTAAAAAATATATTTAAAAAGTGACAAGTATAGTTATTACAAACCTAAAAGATACAGAGAAATCCAAATTAATATAGATAAAGTTTTAACACTGTAACTTATTTTTTTTCTCTTCCCAATCCCATCTTTCTTCTCCTTTATGGAAAACTTTCATTTGCAAGATTGTATCAATATTTAGATAATTGTATTTTCCATCTTGTGAATCGCTCACGGGTAACCACATATTTGTAACAGGCGTTGGATTTCTAAATCATTTAATTGAGAATTAATTATAAGTACGAAATTAACGAAATAAAAATATCATATGTTTAGAAGAATATATTTAAAAGAAATTAAATTAAATTTCTCATACCCTGTTTTAGCAAAATCCGTCCACATTTGTGTTAAGCATTTTATCATCTTGTAGTCTTCTGAATCAATTGCAGGTGATGACATGTCGAAATCTTTTAACATATTAAAATAAAAAAAGTAGGGCAGATCCTCAGCATGTGTCGCACCTGTCAATTATTTTCATTCACTTTTAATTAAATCTTTAAATTACATAATTTTGTAAATATTTTAAAAGACGATTTATTGTTTAAATTAAATTGTCTATAAAACATATTGTGTTGTTTTAATCGCATAAAAATTTAGAAACATTTAAAATCAATTTTTATTGTAATTACAATATAAATGGATATTTTTTATAAAGATAGATTTTTAGATAGTCTTAAATTAATTAATAATACCTGGGAATTGAATTTTGAATATTTTTTTTATAAAAGAAGAGTCGCTATCGTATGAAAATTTATACAGATACGTCGCTTTCTTATCATTTTTATTCAGCTTTGTCTGAATATCCACTGTTTCCATTATACCACGATAGAAGAACTCATCGCCAAGAAAATCAACATAATTTGTTAAAGTTTCTTCTGAAATTGCTTTGTCACCAAAATATAAAGATCGTAATTCCTCGACTGTAATTGGTAACGTAGATAAAGTTTCAGGAAATATAGCATTTTTGAAATCAGAATCTATTTTCCTAAGCTTTTCTTTGCTTATATCTGAAATTTTAAAAACATTTTAGTTCTGTTCACTATAGATCATATGATAAATAATAGATGTTTTCACAGCTTTCCTTTTTAAATTAAAAAATGATTAATTTCTTCAAACAGAGTTTGCCAAACAGAGAGAAAATCTTTTGTTAAAACATTATTTCAACTTTTTTATACAATGAGGTATATCCATTAAAAAGAATGCGACATACGATAGATATGCTATTCTATAAAAAAATTCGAAGCATTAAAAATGTACTTAACGAAATCAAAAATAAAACTCACGTCCTTTCCAGTTACTACATGAAATAAAAGATCCTTCGCAACTGGTAAAACCCAAAAGGAATGGTACCTTAACACCGCGGCTCTTAAACGTTTTTGAATCTTCCGGAAAAACTGGATTCGATGATTCGTGATCCAAACTCGGTGAACACAGTAAACTATATTGTAGAATCTCCTGCGAAGAAGATGTTATTGAAATAATATTTTATTCGCACAATTTATAGCCTGCACACACTATATTTATAGAACATATTTATAGAACTTATATAATTACAATCTTATATAAATACAATATATTCAGATAATTACAGTTTCTGTCAAGAGAGACTTTTGTTCAGTTTCTATCAGCTTTTCAGCATCAATTGTTTTGAGAAATTCATAAGCGACTTTTGGATCTGCAGTAATTTTTCCGAGTATTTTCGCGAGTCGAAAACCTTTGTTTATCGAAGGAGATTGTCGTTCAATTATACCCCAAGGACATGTTGCGGCACCACTTTGCGATATCGCTTTATGAAATAGATCTAATAAACAATAATAACAAATTAGTTTCATACAATTTATTACATAACATTCTTATTTTCTTTTCTTTGTAATGTATAAATTAGTGTTTAAGTTCTTGTAATCACTGATTCCATAATGATTTTGTGATCGATCTTATATTATTAAATAATAATATTAAAATAATTATTAAATATCTCTCTCTCTCTCTCTCTCTCATATACATATGTTAGGGCAATCAAATAAAACGTAATAGATGAAAAATTCAGATATGAAATCAATTAATATGTTAATAATCGCCATAACTGATAAGGCATTTTTTCCATTGTAAAACCAGACGACGGATGCTCTGTTCATAAAACTTCTTGGACTAAGATCGTACCTACCCACAAACAGTCTCTTGCACTGTTGCGTTCAGAAATTTTCTGCTTTTCAGATTCTAGTCCAGGTCTCCAAAGATATGTCGCATGGCGACATGTCCAGATTGTAGGCCGGATGTTCCAGTATTTCTTATCGGAACTGTGTCGCGATTTCCACATCTTTGGAAACCTATATAGCAGGTCTGTTGTAACTTTTAACGACAGTGTCGATATTCTTATATTATCGTTACATTGATATTATACGTAATCAAAAAGATATACAACGACAATGATAACGACAACATAACGATATCGAATTGATGTCAGAAGTAACAGAATCAAAATACTGATGAAGAATCTGAAAGGCAGGAAATTTTCGTCGGACGCAGCATAGCAGGAAGCTGTTTGTGAGTGGATTCAATTCTAGCCCAAAGAATTTTATAAACAGAGTCATCCGTCGACTAATTTCACAATGGAAGAAGTGCCTTGGCCATAGTAATTATTAACACATTATTTTATATATATGTAGTTTGTAGGAAAGTTAGTTGTTTTATAAATTTTTACATTTCATTGGTATTTATAGAATTTATAATTTAAATTAAACATTCAGAACTTATAAAAAAATTTTTGAGGAGTATGTTTTATTAGAAACTAATTGAAAGAGAGAGAAAAGTATAAATGTATTATCTGTTTAATATATTCGCGGAGCTTTTTATTTTTTATTTACAAATGTATTAGTGTTGAATTTTGAGATAAAACATCGCAGTTGACTTATGAATAAATTCATGATGGAACGGAGTTTGGGTTTCTAAATTATTAAATATATCGATAAATCTTCATCGACAAAATACGTTGTACCTTTAGCTAACGGAGACAGAGTTAAATAATGTACGATGGCTCCGCCAGCGCTTTCGCCGAAAATAGTGACATTATCTGGATTTCCTCCGAACTCAGATATATTTTCCTGCACCCATCGTAACGCCATGATCACATCCTTCAGACCTTGATTACCTGTCGCCACTTTATCGTAGAGATTCAGGAAACCTGAAGTTATTAATGAATTTTTCTAAAGTTAATTTATCTTAATTAAAAATAGATGATTACTTTATGTTTAAAGCAAATCATGTTAAAATTTGTTTCTATAATATAATACTAATCAGCAAAATTTAAATAATCTTATTTGTAAAAATAAGTAACAAACACACACATAGATTTTTGTAATGACATACTATGAATAGCTAGATGTGAATTATAAATTTTTTATATTAACATATTTTATATTAACATATTTTAATTAACATATTTGGACTACGTCTAAGTGACTTATTTCAAACAGAAGACATCTGAACAATTACTATATTAAAATATTAAACATAAATGATACGTGAACAATGATACATATTGAAACGAATGACGTACCTAGAATGCCTAATCTATAATTCAAGGTAACCAAAACTACATCTTTCTGCACTATGTAATCGGGACCGTACATAACTGCATCACCAGAACCTTGACAAAAAGCACCACCATGTATCCACACCATTACCGCACGTTTCTTCGAAGGTGTGATATTCGTAGTGTACACGTTTAAATAAAGGCAATCTTCACTGCCCTCAATTTTATGTGTAATCTCATTTATTTGAACGGATTTGTTTCCAAATTTCGAAGCGTCTCTTTTACCGGACCATGGTTCTGCTGGTACCGGATCCTAAAAATCGCATATACGTACGATGTGATTCTCTGTGTTAAGAAACAACTTTTGCAAAATTGTATTTAAGTAATTCTTAAATGAACTACTAACGTTTAAAGCTAACGAGTGCTCTAAGTTCCGCATAAATTTGACGATGTCCATTTTACTATTTCTTTTTCATATAAGCTTTATTATAGTGTTTTAGAAAGCTCTCAAAATAATCTTCAAGAATGTGCAATAAAAATGGGAGATTTCATAAAAAAATTCAATTTGACTTTCATATACGATTACAAACTCTGTTAACGACATTTTATTTAGCCTTACAACTTTGCTTCTTACATATTCTTTGCTATAATCGATCGTTTTCGAGATATTTTAGTGTTTCTGGATTTTTTGATAATGTATATTAATAAACGAAAAGCTGATTATATAATAATTATGAAATATAAATAATAAATAGCTTTATGATTGATTAATCGTAATTTTTCAAAGAGTTAACTTTTATAAAAATGTATTTGTTATCATGAATTGTATTTACTTACTTTGAATCTAAGTTCTCCAATCGGTGGTTTCGCATATGGTATTCCTCGAAAGGCTATGTAATAATCATCATAAACACTTTTTTCTATGATGCCAATTAACTTTCCTTTCTGCACGTGTATTTCGATTCTGTTATCCATAATGGATACGCTATTTAAGTAGAAAGATATCTGAGAAAAATTGATCACTCGTTAGAAATTGGCTAGTTTTTTATTATTTTGTTAGATAGTATTTAGGATAACTGGATAAAAGTCTCTTACTGTTAGACAAAATTAACTCTAGAGGAGTCTTGAAAACTGGACAGATTAGTATAAAATCTGACGGATTAGTATAAAAAGCTATAGATATGGTTGACGAGAGAAAAGTTTATCAGTTTATGTTACATACATATGTATGTGTATTTTAAGAAAGATATAAATTATTTTTTTATAAGTCAGATTAAAATTGAATTGATGCAATAAAATTTTATTTTTCGTTTATGATTATGTCATATCTTATACATTTAACATGCGAAAAACAAACTTGGACTTTATCTCTCTTGTTACATTTCTCAATGAATAACTAGGACAACTTATTAAATCTTGTTATATCTATTCGTGATTTGCAAGAAATATGAGGAAGTGCTCCTCGATACACTATAAATATAAATCAACCGATGAAATTATACAAATATAATTAAAGAAAAGATGAATTCTTTTTATTGATACAGAATTGATATCTGCATAACATTATATAATAAAAAGTTTATAATAAAGTTGAAATCATTTTTTAATGTGACAGATTTTGAAAAAGAAGAATAGCATATTTTGAAAATATATGTATATTTTAGAATGAGCGAAAAATAAATACACGGTATTATTTTTTATAAATTAAAATGAAATGTTTTTTCAAAAAAATTGAGATTTTTCGTCACAGTTTTTTAATATATAAATAAGTAAAATACCTTTGCGAGTCTCCGCTTTGAAAGAGCGTATAGAAATAATTTAAATTAAACCTCTCAAATTAAGTAGTAATGAAATTTATTTCGAATACATACACGTTTCGATCTTAATACGAATCTTCTTCACTGAATCTAATGCATCTATCTAATGCATCATATGACATGAGAAGAGGTAATATCTGCATTATGATACCTTATCGAAAGTCAACGTGTTATATCAATTTCGTGCGTGTTATCTCTCTCCATTTTTTATAATTTTATCCAATTAATAATTGCTATATAATTTTAAATTATATAACAATTATCAATCTGATAACATTGTAAATGTAAATGTCGCAAGTGTTATCTTTATCTATATTTTTACATTTACAATTTTATCAGATTGATAATTGTTATATAATTTAAAATTATATAGCAATTATTAATTGGATAAAATTATAAAAAATGGAGAGAGATAACACGCGCGAAATTGATATAACACGTTTGATTTTAATGTAAGTCCAAAATTATTAATTTTGGACTTACATTAATTGCATTGAAAATGAGAAGAGATAATGATCTGTTGTTTCGAAGGCCATATTTACAGTGAGATCAAAAAATATTCGTACAAGAAAATTTTTTATAAAAAAAGTCTTATTTGTAGAAAATAAACATTAATTAGTAATTTTATACAATGAATACATTTTATTCTAACATATACAAATGAGCTTCACATATATTTCTGATATTATAAGCTAAATTTCTCGACTGTATGAATACTTTTTGAGCATCCAAACAATGGAATTTTTAATTTTCGCTTATTTTTCAGATGATATATTTTCTATAATTAATATACATCTTATATATAATTTTAAGAAACAGTCTATTTTATACTTTATGAATAAATTGTTAATTACCCAGTAAAAAATCATCAATTAAACATCGAATCGACGTCGAATTGGTGTTGAAATCATTGTATTGATATCGATTCGACATCAATTCGATGATTCATTTCTCATTGGATAATATTTAATTTTTTAAAATAAAGTTGTTTTAAAAAATATTTTCTCTGTACGAATACTTTTTGTACTCACTATATATATTTTTTAAATCCGATAATATAAATTCAACTCTTCTCTTTTTTATCTTCTTATGAAATTATTATGTCTAAATAATCATAGATTCTTTGTAATTCTGGTTCTAATTGTTAAAGAAACACTTAAAGAAACTCCGGGATGAAACGTATGTACTCGAGGAATAAGTTTTATCATTATTTAATCTGAGAGGTTTATAATATAAATTATTTCCATGCGCTCTCTTTCTCTCTCTCTCTTCTTTCATGAGGAAACTCGCAAAGACATTTTACTTGTTTATGTTGATTTATTCTATTCGTTCAAATTTTATTTGTTTAAAAACTTAAGGAAATTTACCAATGAGAGCCTGTACTAGATGTTCAATTGATGTCGGAACGTCTGTAATTATATTATATTTTTGTGAATGCATAAAAATCATTATTATCACATTGAATACGTGAAAATAATGATTCATGTATTCACAAAAATATAATATAATTATAGACGTTTCGACATCAATATTATGTCCTTTTCAAAGTGCAAAAAATATATAATCCTCCAGAAACATTGAATTCATTTGATATATATTATCAAAAAATATATCGTTAAGCTGTAATTTTTGTCAAGACTGTAATCTTCGTTTGTCGTATCTCATTGGATACTCGGATTATTAAGAAAGTCACTATAATAAAAATAAAAAATGAGATTTTAACAAAGAACGTTAACTTAATATCAAATTAATAATTGTGCACTAGCTACTACTTACTTGAGAAACAGATTAACGAAGTTCTGTGCAATATAATAAGAGAACGATCTGAATATGTTCAGTTTCAACTTACTGATGAAAGGTCAATAGCAATCTCATTTGTTTATCAGAAATAAAATTAATAAGTATGGAAGTAGCACTCGTCCACAAATAAATGTCATGATATAATAAACTCAGTAGATTCATGTCGCTCTATATATTTAAAACGTTTCTGTTTTTTAATATACAGGGCCAAAAGTCTAAATACACTCAAATATCTCATAAACGATGCATTTTAGGAAAAAAATGTTTCTTACAAAGGCCTCTTGTAAGGCTTAAAAAGACGCATTCAACAATAGTAATTATTTGACCTAGAATAGCGTTGTCAAGATCAGGTCAAGATCAACATGAATTTTTTAAATGGAACTCCCTCTTTTTCATTTCAAATTCTTGTAGCTTATCTCGAGAGCTTTCCAAAACACTATAATTAAGTTTATTTTTATTAAGTACTTTGCGATTTATAAGGCTTGAAAGTTACAGTACCGCCGACATTAGCATTACGTAAGGTGTTCAACCGGCTAAAACCTCTTGAATATTGTTCAGGATTATGCCCTGAATAACATTTGTTAAGATCAAGGTCACTGGAGATTGTTTCTTTTATTTTCATTTTTATGGAAAATTTGATATTAAGTCAACGTTCTTTGTTAAAACCTCGTTTTTTATTTTTATTATAGTGACTTTATTCATTTTTTGCACTTTGAAGAGAAATAATATTGATGTCGAAACGTCTGTAATTATATTATATTTTTGTGAATACATAAATCATTATTATCACACTGAACACTTGGTACAAGCTCCCATTGGCAAATTTCCTTAAGTTTTTATTGTTAAATTTGGAGCCTTTTTATTGTATTATTTATTTGTTTATGTTGATTTGTTTGTTGGAGTTCAAATTTCACAGAAAAGAATAATAATATTTTCACATACATTATAAATTTTATAATAATATTAAATATAACAATGTTAATTTAAAAAATGATTAGAAATTGTATAGAATCCTCAATATTTAATAAATTAAAGATAAAAATTAATGATAATTAATAAATTAAAGATAAAAAAAGAAATAGGAGTTGTTATATTAATTTTAATTGTTCTTTTTTATAAAAAAATTTTTTACGTAGATATGATTCCAATTTAAAGGATATATTTTTACAAAATGTGTGCGATAAAATAACATTTTGTTAAACGTGAAAAGGCGGATACAAATTTTCTCGACCACTCGGGGATGTTTTATTTGCATGCTTTCTTATGTATTTTTCTTCGTAGAAACCGAAAATAATCATTATAACAATGCCAAACTTAAGGAAAAATTGGTATTGAAAAAAAGGAGGAAAGAAAAAAGGTACATTGAAATAAAATGAATAAAATCCTTATTCGCATCGTTATAAAATCACTGTCAGTTATGTCTTTGATTTAGAAATTAATTCCAAATTGGATCAAATACTGGAATAATACTGCATCACAAAATGTTAATTAGATTATATTTCTCATTAGGATATTTGTTACAAACAAATTAATAATCTTTCCGCAAAATAAGATAAAAAGCAATTAAAAACGAGACACTCAAAAGCTGCCAAATGACTATGGGCTGGGACAGACGACTTTGTGCTGCAATAAACAAATGTCAACCTATTCACACACAAGCATGAATATATCGCTTGTTTTTTTTCGCACCCCAAAGTCACTTGTCTATTCGATCCTTAACGGATACAGCTTACGGTAGACACGCGACACTTGGAGAAATCGAGATGACAAATACGGTATAATAAGAAATATAATTATGGTACAATGAGAATTTAATTAACGTTTTATGATGAAATATTACTCATATTTGATCCAATTAATTTCTAAATCATTGAAGCATAACTGACAGTGATTTCATAACGATGCGAATAAGGATTTTATTCATTTTATTTCAATGAACCAATTTTTCCTTAAGTCTGGCGTTATTATAATAATTATTTTTGGTTTCTACGAAGAAAAATATATAAGAAAACATACAAATAAAACGATCCCTGAGTAGTCGGGAAACTCTCGAAAATTTGTACCCTCTTTTGGAAATATAATTTTAATATAAATAATATTCTATATATATATATACAGACACAGAATTTCATAGTTTGTGTTTCATATTCTTCCAATCACTGCGTCGTTCTCCTTTACGAATGCTTTCCATACGAGGAACAAGATCAATATTTAAATAATCGCACATATCTCCACGCTTCAGTGGAGTCCATTTAGTGGGAGTCAAATTCGTAATAATAGGCGTTGGATCTCTATTAGTTGAAAATTAAAAATTAGTTATTAATACACAATTATAAAACTTTTTAAACGAAAAAATTAATTTTTAATTTAAAAAATTAATTCTTCGCACCCTGTTTTAGCAAAATTTGTCCACATTTGGGTTATGCAATCTATTATTTTATCATCCGAATTAGATATAGGTGATGACAAATTGAACTCTTTCATTATATGAGGATAAAATAAAAAAAATAAATCTTCGGCATGAGTCGCTCCTACAAAAAATATATTGTTATATAATACATTAATTTTAAAAATATAGATTTCTATTTTGAAGTAATATTTAATATTTGTAAATAGTACTACAAAATAATATATATATATATATATAAAACAATAATTATTATAATATATAAAACAATAATCTTTAAAATATATATAATTATATATATATATATATATATATATGTGTATGTATGTGTGTGTTATGTACACACATATATGTATATATAATCTTTAATTTTTTAAAGTGAAATATTTTTAAATGTATATTGATACATATTTGATCTCTTATAATGATCTATAAAAATTTAGATTTGTTTTTTTAACAATGTCTAACATAATGTAAGTGCACTCGTATTCCTTAATAAAGGATTAAAAATTTTTATATGGTTTTAAGTAGTGACGTTACCTGGCAGCGTAATTTCCTTTCTGAAGTAAGTTTCACTTTCATATGAAAATTTATACAGATATGTTGGCGTGTAACTGTCAGAACTCATTTGAATATCAACTGCTTCCATGATACCACGATTAAATACGACATCGCTAAGAAAGTCAGCGTAATTCATTAAAGTTTCTTCTGATACTGCTTTATTTCCAAAATATAAAAATCGTAACTCTTCAACTGTGATCGGTATTTTTGACATTGCAGATAAAGCTCTAGGCATTATGGTTTTCGTGAAATCAGAATCGACTTCTTTAAGAGCTTTTTTGCTTATTTCTAAAACAATTTTAAAAACTTTATTGTTACTAACGACTACAAATGCTAGATGGCATGTGGATAATATTTAAGGAACATTATTTGTTAAAAAATAATTTATTTTGAATATCTATTAGCATATAAATATTATAGTATATTATTTTTCATACAATGGCCTGTTAAAAAAAACACAGCGTGTGTATAACATTACATTGATAACAGAAATAGACATAAATATGTCTATGGTTTTATCCAGAAAATGTTTGCTTAATATTGGTATACATAATATATATATATATACGCGCGTGTACGTGCGCAAGTACACACACAATTAAATTTGTGTTGTTCTTTATAGGTCACATCGTATAAGAATTCATACACTACAGTGGCTACAGATATTTAATGAATGAACGCACAAGCATATGCACTTACGTCCGAAAAGTGTATTGCATATGAAAAAAGACCCTTCACAACTATTATTTCCTAAAAGCCAAGGCACTTTAACTCCACGTTGTATTAACGTATTTGGATGTTCCGGAAAGAATGGATTCGGTGATTCATAATCTAAAGTAGGTGTAAACATTAAAACATGTTGTAGACGGTCCTGCAAAAACGTACTAAACCAACATGAAAATATTTCGTAATTTGTTTGCAATTTGTTGTATAATCATGCTTATATTGCAAAATTATTAACAAATATTGAGATACTTACTACTCGTGTGGCAAGAAACTTCTGTCCAACTTCTGTGAGTTTTTTTGCATCGATTGTCTTAAGAAACTCATAAGCGATTTTTGGATCTGATGTAACTTTTCCAAGTTTCTCCGCAAGTTGAAAACCTCTGCTCATCGCTTTGTTTGTCCATTCAGTCAAGCACCAAGGATTCGAGGCGACGCCGCTTTGCGAGATCGCTTTGTGAAATAAACCTGGAAATTGCAATTGAATTTAGTTATATTAATTAATTATCATTATATCTTTCTTGTTATTTCTTCAGTTTAATAATATACAGGTTATTTTATAGATTTAAGCATTATTTCAATTATTGTTTTTTTAGTCACTTTGGAATCAATTTTATTTTCGAGAAAATGTTTCGAAAGAAATTATTAGTTACTTCCCCTACAACTTTTTCAAATTTTGACATTATGCATAAGTTTTTATCATTAATATTTAAATGAAAATTTCAATGTTTCACACAGAAATTCTTCTAATGTATATTTTGCTTAAGATGGATTTTTTAACGATGAATTTATTATTTATATTTTTTTATTGAGGAACAAAGAAGGAAAAGAGATTAGGACAAGCAGCATCTTTAATTTTACAATTATTAGAGCGCATAACTTGGATTTTTGTTGAAGAAAAATCTAGTTTAAAATGATCAATGACTTTTTGAATATTTAATAGGAAATTTAATAATAAATATTTGATAAAATTTGAGGATATATTATTACACATTAATAGGTCTGTAGATTATTATACCTTTGCCTAACGGAGATAGATTTAGATAATGCACGATAGCTCCACCAGCACTTTCGCCAAAGATAGTGACATTATTCGGGTCTCCACCAAATTGTGATATATTTTTTTGGATCCATTTTAACGCCATAACCACATCTTTCAGACCTTGATTACCCGTTACTACTTTGTCGTAGAGGTTTAGAAAACCTGAAATTATTAATGCATCTTTCATTTGCAAATTCGAATGACTAAGATCAGAAGTAGATTTATATATTATAAATAGAGAGAGAGAGATGGTCTATATATTATATTATCTCATATAAGTAAAATTCATTAATGGTAATATTTTCTTTAACATTTTTTGCTTTAAATAATGTAAAGATAATTTCGACACAATACGAAGTAGCATTTGCACGCATAGTATATATCGTACATTACAATAATGCATATGTATGATACATACATAAAATATTATTTTAAAAAAACAGCAGAGATACTGAGAAATATGTCTTGCATAATTTCGTATCCAGCTAATATACAACGTACCAAGAACTCCTAATCTGTAATTTAGCGTAACGATTACCACGTCCTTTCGAACAATGTAATCGGGACCATACCAGTCTGCATTACCAGAACCCCAGGCAAAACCGCCACCATATATCCACACCATAACTGGACGTTTCTTCACGATATCTATAGTATATACATTCAAGTAAAGACAATCTTCATCACCTACTATTTCACGTGTTAATAAATCAACTTGAACAGCGATATTTCCGTATTTTGAGGCATCTCTGTCGCCGAACCATCTTTCTGGTGGTAACGGATCCTGTATAGATAAATATATAGCTTTTATTTATAAGAATCTTAATCTGATATACAGAGTATAACTGAAATAACGCCCATTAATCAGACAGTGATATTCCTAATAAAAAACCAAGTCGAAAAATCCTCTGCTATTTTGCAATTTTCGCAATAGTTAACGAGATATTAATTTCTAAAAATTGCCGAATAAAATCGATGTTTAAGACAATTTTAAGATATTTTTCTGTGTTCTTTATGAAATATTTTGAAGACTTTTCTTAAAAAACTTTTAAAGATATCTTAAAACTGTCTTATACGTTGCAATTTTGCTCATTGGATAACTAAAAAAAATATGGGGAAAATTTCAAAATGGTAGAGGACTTTTCGTCTCAGTTTTTTATTAGGAATAACACTATATGATTAGTGAGCGTTATTTTTTCGGAGGTTTTTTATTAGGAATATATTACTCTTTTTATATTTATACTATTTATTTATACTATTTGTAGTGTATACATAGTAGTGCTATATATACACTAAAGTAAACTCAAGAAGTTGATGATTAATAAAAAGAGTGTAAAGTTCATAAATGTGTAACTAAAGTCCTTGAATTATGTAAATTATGTAATTTTTTTCTTTGTTCATAACAACTTATACAATAAAATCGGTAATAAAATCTTCGCGTTCCTTGAATTCGAATTATTTATTCGAAAAATTTCAAGCGACACTCATATAATTTTTTCTTATATATTGTGTGTGTCCTTAGATCTTAGCACATCGAAAAATCTAAGCAGTAGAATATTATGCAATAAATAACAGTAAAACCAGTTACAATTGAGCATTCTCAAAAATAGGTCAACCTGAAAAGAACACTCGACTGTGACTGATCGATCCATGGATGTAGTCAAGAGAAGGAAGCTATGTTGCCCCTAAATCTTTAAATGAAAAACAAAAATAATTCAAAACAATTACATATTTACGGACTATGCTTGATGAGTATTTATAAGAAATTAATTTTAGAAAAGAAGAAAGAATTGGAGGAAAAAGAAAAGTTTTTATAGAAAAGTTTTCTGAGAATCCAAGACTATTTTTATAAATTTAAATTTAAAAAAAAGATAATAACAATATAGAACATAACAAGTCCAATAGTTCATATTCGACTTCTTCCTCTTTCCTTCAGATTTAAAAGTTTTAACTTTAATTTGGCTCCTCTTCCTAAACAAAATCCTGGTTAATAAATTGATTTATTTATTGCTTCAATTCTACTATTTACGTTTTTATATGTTTTAATTATATGAATGTTATAACAGAAAGATTAATTTATATCAGGAATAAATCGTTGTACCTATTCAAATCATACTAAAAATTTGTCATAATTAAATATTAATATGTGAAGAGTCGATTCGCATTAATTCTTTTTTAAACAAAATTTTAATTTTTCTTAATTTTTGCAAATTACTAATTATTAATGTGTCAATAAAAATTGTTTGCAATCATAAAAAATCATTTAGTAATAAAGACAATAAAGCGTGAGAAAAATTTGAAGATTTCTTTTTATTTTCGAGTAGATATAGGTATATTTCTTTTTATTCTTTAAAATGTTTTTTAATTTACATATTACTGATTATAAGTGAATTATCTAATAATAATTATGAAAAAAATCAATGCTGATTATATTAATATTAATTTTTGACTTTTTGCAGTGCACTTAAATTTTATACTTAATTTTATATTTATATTTATCCATAAATCATACTCTGAATGTTGTGTACGAAAAATCCAAAGTGCTATAAATAACTCATATAATCTGCTAATTTAATTAAATAAAATAAAAATAGTCAAATAATGATCTGAGATCCAATAGTGAAAGAAAACTATTTTTGATAACTATTTTTTTTACATCATTAACATTATAATTTCAATTATAATTTTCTCAATTGACACATTGTTTCTTTTCGTGCAAATTAAAAATAAGACAGATAAGTAGAAGTGAATTTTCTGTCAATTAAAGCCTCTTTAATGTCGCATATAGTCGCATGATTGTCGTAATCGCAAGAGCTCTTGTTATACGGAATTGAACCAACTTCAACTTCTTGTGATTGCGACAGGCGTGTCGCATGAGCTCACAGCACAGCAAGTTGACGTTTAGAATTTGTTGCCAAATTGCGTGCAAACAATCGTTATGACTATTGTAGACGCTTATTTAAGTCTGTTCTGCAACAGAGTCGCAAGTCATAATTCGTAAGAAATTGGCCAATCACAGTTGAATATGACAAAAATAATTAACCATGATTGATTAATTTCTTATGGCTTATAACTTACGATCCTATTGTAGAACAGGCATTAGCAACACTCTTGCGGCATGCGACAAATTTTCCTGCGATGTTACTACTCGCGACATGCGACACAATCTGTGCGACTATTGTAGACGAGGCTTAAGACTCAAGATGGTTGTAGTAACGGAATGTTATTCACCTTGAATCTTAGTTCGTCAACCGGCGGTTTCGCGTACGGTATTCCTCGGAATGCGACATAATGACCACCATGGACAGCTTCCTCAACGATACCGATTAATCTTCCCTCATATATATGTACATTCACTCGATTATTATCCATGATATCGTGGAAAAATAGCAACGTGTTACTCTGTTAACGAACCTGCTGGTCTACATTGTACGACTACGTATGTCGAGATTATGCAACTGCATATATACTCGTCGGAGAACTGAACGTCGGAATATTGTGTAATGACCAGTTCTCATCGAGGAGAGAGTGGGGATTAAATGAATAAGAGTTGTTGATTCGTTGTTTTTATGATATTGTTATCGCCAGACTCTCTCTTAATGCAGTAAAAAGTTGCATGATAAATGGTATTTCTCATGTTAAAAAATTATGAATTATAAAGTATAAAATTAATAATGAAATGATAATTATATATACAGGATGTTCCATTTTAACGGAAATAGCATTATATATCTCTTAAATTTGACGTTGTCGTATAAAAAAACAAAATTTTTAAACAAAAATTATGTGGTCTGAAAGAGGATAAAATTTAAAATCAAAATTTTTGAAAAAATTGATTTTTTAGGATCACATAAAGATTATCGCTACGAAGATTATAACCATTTAAAAAAAAATGTAATTATATGATATTTTTATATAAATATATTTCTAATTATTCTATATATAAAAGTATAATATTAAAGTAGAGTTATCGAAAAATTAATAGTTTTTATGAGAAACTTTATACTTTATTCTGATACATTTTAACATGATGTACAAAATATGTTGTAAAATATTTATTTTTTGGCAACTATACCTTAATTCTCCGGTCAGAGAGATTTTTAAAGGACTATCATTGATATTTTGATTGTAAATTCTGGTAGATGGATTTTAAACTGTAAAATAATTAAAATACACACACACACACACACACACAAAATCCAACATCTACGATACAAATTTGTTGTTAAAGCTTTTAAATATATCAATTTTTTCAAATTTTTGTACGTATATTCAGAAACACTAAAAAAATTTACTTTGTTACGTGAAACAAACGATAGGCTTTAATATAATAATAATGATAATGAGTAATAATGATATCATTTTATTTACACTTTTATTTACCCTTATTTACGCTAAACATATCTGCGAAATAAAAACAATTAAAATTAAAACTAGACGTTTCGATCCTATCATTTTTATCGAGTCATATCAGTATTTTTATCTAATTTAATTCAATTTACATCAAATTGTTATCTATTTTAAATTGTCAATATCATATTTTCTATAATTAAAACATTTGCATTTTAATAATAAGCTCGCTTCCTTTACATTCACGTAAAGGACATTTTTAGGACTTAACAACATTTTTTTGCTTTGTTGCTTGAAAATTTGTATAGCTGATGGAATTAGAGTTAAAATTCCACGTTACCGACGGATGATTAATACTTTTATGCACAGACTAATGAGATAAATCAATTGATGTAAAAAAAACATATACATAATTGCTTTTTTAAAAAAGTTATGCAATATGCAACTATTACACGGAGAAAATTTTATATTTGAAATTACTATAATGTTGTAGAAGCTGTGAATTCACGACAATTATAAATTTAAATGCTATTTTTTTAAAAACAATAATGCAACGTAATTTTTACACTTTTTCATAGTAAAAATTTTTTATTACAAAATCCAAACTTGTTAAATAAAAGTTAGTATTGTAAAGATAAGTGAAAAATACCTAGCAAATTTTGTTTGCGTACCATAGTAAAAATTAACTGTTTTCATGTTAGAATATGGTTTAAGCACTGGATTTTAACAAAAATTATTTTATTTATGTGATAAAAATTACCATAGTAAAAGTTACGTTGAAATCATGTTGTCCATTGAAAATGCAAGACATAGTAAAGTATAATTTAAAATTGTATTAAAATTTAATAGAAAATTTTCTCCATGTATATATGCCTTTTTTCAAAGCAACTATGTATTTTTTTACACCAATAATTGATTTATCCTATTATTCTTAATTATTATACCTAAAATGATTAAGGTAAAAAAATGTATAGTTTATGAGATTTTATATTTCATGTCAAAATATGCCAGAATAAAGAATAAAATATCTTGTAACTTGATTTTTTGATAACTTTACTTTAATACTTTTATAGAATTACTAAAAGAATCATATATAAAAAATTATATAATTCTAAAAAAAAATGATACAAATGATCCTTATATAATCTAAAAAATCAATGTTTTTGAAAATTGATTTTACCATTATTTGTCTCTCTTCAAATAATACAAATTTATCTAAAACATTTTTATATGATGTTAAATTTATAAGATATACTGCTGTTCCCATTAAAGAATAAGACACATACACATACTCTGTATCGTATAATAACTTATATAATAAGTATGATAAAAAACTTGCGTACTAAATTTTTAATTAATTTCTAATGATTTACTTGTAAATATATTTTTAAGTATGCATTGATGCTTGATTAACTGGGACGTCTTTACTATTAATTATATTATATTATATTTTATATATAATTTAAACAAATATATTAATTTATTTAAACAAATATATTTATAAAAGAAATAAGTTTAGTATATGCACTTTATAATACTGAGATAAATATTAAAATATGAATATAATAATTTTTTCATAATTTTATTATGTACCATCTTTATGGAAAAATAGTTTTGGAATGAAAAAAAATATCTTTGAAAGTCTGTTAAGAAATATTTATTGTAAATACATATTTTTCAACAAAGAACAAGAAATGCTAAAAGAAAATTCAGTTTTAACAGATGACATTACATCAGACAACATTAGAACATTTTTTGAATACTTTCCCAATCCCAGCGTTCCTTTCCGTAACGGAAGGTTTTCATTTGTAGATTTAAATCAATATTTAAACCATTGTAGTCTTTGTTTTTTTTTTGCGGACTAGTTAGTGGTAACCATAAATTTTTAGTAGGCGTTGGATTTCTAAAAATCAGTTTGAATTAATATATGTAGAAATTAATATATGTTTGCAGTTAGAATTGATATACGTGTGTAAAATAAGGAAAAAAATTCTTTTTTCTGTACCCTGTTTTAGCAAAATTCGTCCACATTTGCACTAAGTAATTTACTATTTTGTAATCATTTGAACCAGGTTTGTGACACGTACAGTTAGAATTTGATTTTACAGCTTTTGGACAAAATAGATAACCTAATTCCTCTGTATGACTCACTCCTGCAAAATATTATTATATTTTAAATTATTCTTGTAAATTATTCTTGAAAATGCAGATTCATCATTTTCAAATTTACATTTCCTCTAAATTTTTCAGTTTTCTAAATATTTTTATATGTTAATTTTTTTTAACATTAATTTTTTTATTACATAAGATATTTTTATCATTATTTTTATGCACAATTATTATAATAATACAATTGAATATAATAATTAGGCCCACAATTTCAGAAGTAATAGCGTTAGTTGGTAAAATGTATTTGTGCTTTTTGACGTAAGATATATTATGTGGTAATAGTACTAGCAATATACCTGGAAGTCCGATGTTTAATATCGTTCTAAAAGGGGAAGTTTTGCTCTCATAATCGAAGTGATAGAAATACGTCGATTTGAAATGACCAGAACATCTTTGCGATTCAACTACATCTCTTATGCCGCGTACGAAAAATTCATCTCCTAAGAAATCTGAATAATTCGTTAAAGTTTTTTCTGTTATTTCTTCGTTTCCAAAATAGTGGTGTCGTAATTCTTCGACAGTAATTCCTATTTTAGGTAACTCAGATAATACATTTGGTAATATTGCCTTTTTAAAATCATCATTTACTTTCTTCAAATCTTTATCGCTCACATCTAAAACAATTTTAAAAATATGATATTTTAAAGATATGATTATATTGATCACGTTTAGGAGTTTTGCTTATCAAACGAATAATATTTCATGAGTATTTTTTATAAGAAATAATTGACTTCATAAGTTCATGAAAAATATCTATCTCAAAAATAATATATTTTTATATTAATATAAAATTTTTATTTTAATAAAAATGTGCCAATTAAGATATGTACAAAATATATATATTATTATTAAATGAAAATTAATAATATGCATATTCGTATATTTTATTTGAAATTATTTTAAATTTAAATGTTGATGAACGTACATAACCTATGATAAAGCTATTTTAGAACAATGTAATTATTTAAATTATGTTAAAACAATATATTTGTTTAAGGATGTACTGAATTATTTAATAATTATAATTCTTATACGTGTATTTAAAAATTGCAGTAAACAAATTTATTTTTAATATTATAAAAACGTCAAAATATTATGGAAATCTTTTTATAAATGTTGATGGTTTGTTAAATGTCAAAATTGTATTATTTTTAACAAGCTACATTGTAGAAAAAAGTCATGTAAAAGAGATAAAAGCAAAATATTTAAGAATATATTTAGTGACAGTATGCGTACGATAAAATGTAATACTTCTTTATTACCTCCGAAAAAATTGCTAGAAATAAGAAAGATTCCTTCATTACGATTAAATCCTAAAAGGAAGGGCATTTGAATTCCGCGTCTTATATATTCCTGTGGATGTTCAGGAAAAACTGGATTCGATGACTTGGTGTCCAGAGTGATCGTGAAGGGTAGAGTAAAACTCAATCTCTCCTGATAATGTTATAAATGAAAAATATATTATTCATATGTTAAAAAAATTCGTAAAAAAAACTCTTTTAAAAGAAGAAAAAATATATACCAAGTGCATAAAAAGATACTAAAATTACATCTTTCTTAACAAAATACGAATATAAAATATATATAATTGAATAGTTGAACGAACTTATGAAGTTCGACTTCAATTATGCTCTTATCTCGTCCGGATGTATATGTATGTAATCGCATTTTGATGCGACTACATATATACATATCCATACGGACAAAATCTGGCATAATCTATATTATAATAAAATATTGAGATTTACTGATTCAGTAGAAATTGCCCATAGTGAATTTTTAATAAGTGTTTTTGCATCAACTGTTTTTAAAAACTCATATGCGACTTTCGGATCTGATGTTTCCTTTCCGAGTTTTTTAGCAAGTTTAAAACCTGTGTCCATTACTTCATTAAAGGCCCAAGGATTTAAGATGACACCGCTTTGT